TCCTGTGTGAGCTTTATTTCGAAAGGGTCCATTTTCTGTTACTGTCGTGTTTCTATAAATTTTAAATATTGCTATGTACTGAGAGACGAATTTTTTGCTTTGTGTTCTGCAGAATAATGTTTATTACACAATAGTATTTTGAAAATTTGAGAATTAGGGGATTTAGGAAATTAGAAATTGGAGTATATAAGAATGTAAGAATTTAGGATTCTGGGAATGTGGGAATGAGAGAATGTGACAATGAGAGAATGTGAGAATGTGGAAATGTGGAAATGTGGAATATGGAATGTAGGAATGTGAGAATGTAGGAACGTGAGAATGTAGGAACGTGAGAATGTAGGAACGTGAGCATGTAGCAATGTGAGAATGTAGCAGTGTAAAAATGTAGGAACGTGAGAATGTAGGAATGCGAGAATATAGAAATGTGAGAATGTAGGAATATGAGAATGTAGGAATGTGAGAATGTAAGAATGTGAGAATCTGATAACTTGGTAGTGTCGGAATGTGAGAATTTGGGAATATGAGACATTGGGAATATGGAAATTTTGGAATGTGACAAATAGGAAGTGAGGGAATGTGGAAATTTTGGAATGTGGTAATGTGACAAATTGGGAGTGAAGTTATGTGAGAATTTGGGATTGTGGAAATTTCGGAATCTGGGAATGTGACAAATTGGGAGTGAGGGTATACGAGAATTTGGGATTGTGGAAATTTCGGAATGTGGGAATGTGATATATTGGGAGTGAGGGAATGTGAGAATGTGGGAATATGGGACGTTGGGAATGTGGAAATTTCGGAATATAGGAATGTGGAAATGTGATAATTTGGGAGTGCGGGAATGCGAGAATTTGGGAATGTAAAATTTTGAGGATTTAGGAATGTGGGAATGAGGGATTGTGAGAATGTAGGAGTGTGAAATGTGGGAATGTAGAAATGTGAGAATGTAGGAATGTAGGAATGTAGGAATGTGAGAATATGAGAATGTGTTAATTTGGAAGTGTGGAAATGCAAGAATTTAAGTATGTAAAATTTTGTGAATTTGGGAATGTGGTAATATAGAATCTTAGAAATGTAAAATTTTGTGAATTTGGGAATGTGAGTATTTTGGAATGCGTGTATAGTAATTTGGGAATATGGAAATTTGACGATCTAAGAATTCAGAAATTTAGAAATTGAGTAAGAATTTTAAAAATTTTGTATTGTTGAATTTCTAAACTTCCATATCCTTAAAACTTGAAATTTGATACCCTACAAATATTGGAGTTTGAAAATAAAGAATTAGAAAGTTCGAATATCTTACATTTCCATAATTCAAACATTAAAATTTCGAAGACCGCGACTTCTAAAGAGCAGAACTCATTTTAACATTATACGATATAACGGCACTCGGAAACCACTTTAATGGAAAGTTCAAGAATTTATAAAATCTCCATTTATCTACAGCCATGTTCATAACTTTTACTTCTCAGTGACATAATAAATTCCAGATGTTTCTAAGGTAGATTCTCAAGTAGTAAAGTTTCCATACACCCGGAAAGGAATTTCTAGACCGCCTCTTGTGTTTTCAGTGGCCTTTTCTCAACAATGTCTGGAGCCATTGCTTGACTTCTGAGCTCTTGTCTAAGTGTGGCTTTAATAGTAACAATTACATGTACGTACGCGGAAACTCCTCGTATTTTTCTTCATAACCGAAACAACTAAGAAAATAACTGCACTTCAAGATGAAAATTTATTTGCTGTAACATTAGTATTAATATAAGTTTCATGGTAGGACAGATATAAATTAATTTCACGAAAATTAAGGAAGGAAGGAAAGACTGAATTTACTTCTATGTTCTCTTTGTTCTCTAACTACTCTGTTCTCTACTTTGTATTATAGTTACGATAAAAAATTGTTCATTCAAGGAGATGAATAATGCTGTGACTCTTTCGATAAAACTCAGAGCTGATTGCAGTATTAGAATATTAAAATGTTAAGGACGTTGTGCAGATTACAAATAAAATTGAACCCAAAATTCAATCGTTGTTAAAATTCTAGTCATAGGTCCTAGAATGCATATTACACTAAGAGGATTAGACCTTAGTACAAGTTTTTAGCAATAAGGTCTTCAGTAATAAGATAGGGCAGCAGTTAGGACTTAATATTATAAGACAAACATTTGTAACAATAATAATAAAATTTCGATTATCATTTCGATTACAAGGATCTGAAGTGAAAATCCCGAAATTTCGCGTAACTCCATTTCAGCGTCCGAAACATGTACCACCGGCGAAATATTAAAATGCACGTTCATTTTTCAGCAGAACATCAGCCACATTTCGCAGCCTATTTAATTTTCATGTTGACCTCCGAGCGAAATGGGTCAGCCACCGATATGTATCCGAAGGTGGGACGTTAGCACACAGACGCATACACAGCCGCAGTTTCTTGTTACTTTAAACGTGGAAAAGCGCAATGGGAAGGTACGCGAGAAAAGACTGGATGGACAAAAAGGGGCGGCGAAAGAATGGGACAGAAGGCAAGAGTTGGACGTACAACTCCACCTTTATTACGTGCACGGTTACTTATTCCCTGCGGGGTGATATCGTGTTCCATTTCCATTCAACGAATTTCTTGTTGCTCCTGCATGCCCCGCCGAGAGACAAACGAGAGATGCTGCCGTAAAAAGGAACACGCCGGATCGTTTTGGTTGGCTGGCAAGCATTTTGGGATTTCGTCAATTTTATGGAGCTGTGGGGAATTTCACGGATCGACCAGGAAACGACTCGTTTGCACCGCAAGGATATATTATAGCGGACAAAGGAAACGAGGAAATTTTCAACGAGTTTGCGAGAATGATCGGAATTAATGTTATGAACGTTTCGTAGGTTAGAAACCCTACGGGGTGGTTAATATTCTCGTTTGTTTAACGGGAACTCGTACACGATCGGGATAGTTTCGTGGACGAATATACGTTTGAGGTTGAAGATGGTTAAAGGAGGTTGTAAATTCCGTTATCGTGCTGGAACGCTTCGGAATTGTAATTGAAGGATTTTGCGAGGAAATAGATGAACTTCGATTACGTATCTTTCGACGGGGTGAACGATTCGTTTTGGGGAATTTTCTTTGCCACTAAAATTGCCAAAGCGCTCGACCGTTTTACTACCTCGTTATTTCAGGGTTGAAGTGGTTTTCTTGAAATATGAGTTTTGCAAGATTAATGGATTAATTGGAATGTTAATTTATTTTTGATCGTTTGTTCATTTATTTTTAATTTCAATGTACCGCGCATTATACGTCGGTATGTTTAGGGATTAAGTATAGTTCAATAATAATAGTCAAACTTGTGAACTTGTAAACTTGTAAATTTTTAGATTTGTAGATTTGTAAATTAGTAAATTTGTAAACTTGTAAATTTTTAGATTTGTAGATTTGTAGATTTGTAAATTAGTAAATTTGTAAACTTGTAATTTTTTAAATTTACAGATTTGTAAATTAAAAAATTTGTAAATTTGTGAATTTGTGAATTTGTGAATTTGTGAATTTGTGAATTTGTGAATTTGTAAATTTGAAAATATAAAAATGAGGAAATCAGAAAATTGGAGGAGTTATGATGCTGAAAAAATGCTAACTGCATTTCTCATAGTACATTTAATGAATTGAAAAATCTATAACAATTTCAGAATATAAACAATAAAAATCCTGTATATTCAACAACAGACAAATACCAATTTATATACCAATTTATATGTAACTTCATTCATTACTCCAACAAAAAACCAGGCATCTTATATTAATGAAGAAGAATCATTTGTGTAAAAGCATCACTGACACTTTGATACATCGTTAAATTTTCTACTCATGCAAAGTTAGGTTATTTGCTATACATTTATGTCATCAAATCGTGTCGGATTTTATTTGTTCTGAAATCGATAATTGTTTACTGCATCTGGTAACCAGCCATTTTATTTGAACTGGTCCTCCTGTGACCCATTTTATAACACGGTTATAACCTGCATGCAGTATTTATTGCATCACAATTTTAATCTACACTTTTGACATTTTTATCTGCATTTTGTTCCATTCGGTATTCATATTTTTAAAAGTTGAATAATACAACTGCGGATATACCGAGCTATTCTAAATTAGTAAAATGGATGGGAAGTATCTTTCTCAAAAATGGTTTCATAAATCGTACGTCGGGATAAATACTGTATGAAGAGATTCTCGGAAACGAATTGCAATTTTATATAAACTGGAAATATCAAGGAATTCAGCTTGTGAAAGAATTACAGCTTCACTGACTGAAAAATTGAAACAAAACGGTCAAGGATTTTACTCTCCATAAAGTACAGAAGATTTGAATGAAATGATTCAAAGCTTCCTTTCAAATAGCAAAAATATCATTTATTATTCATTGAGAATATTCGCATTTTTATTGTTTTTGTCGAAAAGGAAAGATTACGAACGTTAATCAAGGTACATGTAATTTTCATTAAATTTTCAAACTGACATGACTTTCATTTGTGGTTCCATGTTCATTAACTCCTGTGAGAGTTTTTATCAAATTTCGCTATTTTATATGTAATTTAAAAAGTAGTACGTATATGCATTAACGAGTACGTACATTAAGTATCTTAATTTTTTTGAAAATGTTAATGAAACTTGTAACTTGTTAACTACTCAAAGTCTAATATGCCATATTGAATGTAGCGCACGAAATTCAAATCTGTAACTTGACCTGATCATTAAATCGTTTATAAGTACTCCATAATTTACAACACAATGATTAAATTAATAATTAATATATGCTATTGAATAGGGCAATCGAATTTTTTTTAACAACTCGACATTACACACATCTTCACACATACAGCGATAGAATTTTATATGTATATCTATAGAAATTATATTAACGTTTTTAAAAGCTTGAAACAGCTTTATACCATATAAGGCACATATCATACGGTTCATAAAAGAGACATAATCACACTAATTAAAAAAGGGCATCCGTACTTACATCATAACCAGAGAATTCACCCTTTCCCGGAGGTCCTGGTGGTCCTTGAGCACCTTTCTCCCCTGCCACTCCGTCACGACCCGGCTCGCCTTTTTGTCCTTGAGGACCTTCCGGTCCCGGTATTCCCATGTCTCCTTTGTCACCTTTAGCGCCCTGCGGTCCTTGGAGTCCTCTCTCTCCAGGTGGTCCTGCAGCACCCTGCAGAATTCAGCGGAATTAATTACTCGGACGAACGACCATAACCGGAAGCATTCGTGACGAGGTATTGGTTTCAGAAATCGTGTCACCACAAAACATTCCCGTGAAATTAACACGATCACGCACACGGGTTAGGGATTATTTGGTTCATGAAATACTCTTTATTTGACAAAAATAACACATGAAAGTTTTTGTCTTTATTTGCAAAGCATCAATACCGTCAACCCCATCTGTCCCTGTTTCCCTTCTTGTCCTGGTAATCCTTGCTCTCCTTTCGGTCCCTGGATCATTTTAGGCATTGTAAAGGATGCCATCAGTTCTGTCGCGTTGCAGGCGCATGTTCCGGGTTCTCCTTTCTTGCCCGGTGGACCCTGAAGCATTTAGATTAATTTATCGAAATGAATATTATTAAAGGTATATGTAAATGTATATGATATTATGAATTAACTTTTAGGTGTAATTGTGTATATTAAATTAACAATATTAACGTTGTTAAATGAATTTCCTACATTTTGTGTGGACAACTGAGTACCTGGATACGTATCCTTATATTTCTTTAATAATTTAATATTTTAGTAATAATTCAATAATTAATACTTAAAGTATTAAAAATATTAAATATTTTGTTAATTATTTAATAATTTAAGAATTTAAGAATTAAATTTTTTTAAGAATTTAATAATCAATAGTTTAACATTTTGTTAATATTTTATTAATTAATAATTTGATATTCCCTTAAAACTTGAATAATTAATAATTTAATATTTTCATAATATGTTAATAATTAATAATTTAATATATCTAATAATTTAAAATAATAATAACAATTAAAAATTTGAAGATCTCAATCCTCAATTTTTATTTTTACTTCGTACATAATTAATACAAAGATTTTGATGATACAATAAATATTTCCTGTATAGTCGCTGACACGACGACAAATAATTAAAAAAAAAAATATACATAATACATCAGAATTGATGCAGCAAAGTGTTAATCGTACACGAATTGTCAAAGACAGTTATACATTTATCACCTTTTATCAAGTATACTGTACTTCCTATTTTTTAAAGATTTATTACTGTTTGTTACCCTCCGAGTTATTCATTCAATTTTTATCGTGTTTGTCATTCACTTTTGTCAGTACAGTGTCACTTCTCTACATACAACAAACATGGTGATATTTCAATTTCCTTCCCCAGATATTTGATCAAAAATGCCTATCAAATTTGAGAGTTACGATATTTTTTCGTCTCCGCCCGAATATATTGGAAGATAAATACAATTCTGATACACACCCACGTGCTGATAATTTTTAAAGATAGGGAATGTCGTAAAAGCTACTTTTTACGTGGGTTACATTTCAACAATTCAAATTTGCCGCCATAAATATGTTCTGTAATGCTGTTGTATTAGCCGCAAACTTCTCGATACAATTTCAAATTAACGTCGGTTGAATATGTCGATTAGTTTGTAATTTAAAAAAAGACAGTTTGTGTGTTTGTTATGCAAAGTAAGTACAATCAGAATTATTAAAAGTTACAATGTAACTTAAGCAGTTGATATGTATTTTTATAAATGATGTTTTAAAAATGCAAACAAATACTTTTATTATTTCTAACCTCTCAATATCTGCATTATATTAGACATGACTAAGCGAGCTCAGTACCAGGATCAAATGTGGACAGTTTGTTGAAGATTTGAAGAGTTTAATTGTATACCACAATATCCACTTTTATACTCATTTGGTAATTTGCAAATTTATAAATTACAAAGTTTTGAAGTTTGTTGTAAAAATGCTGTATTTTCAAATTTAAAATGTATCTTTATTTTATTTTTATTTTCTTTACTGATTAAATTTTGGAGGGAACATAAAATTTTACATATAATAAGTTCCAAGTTTAGAAGATGATAATATTGTAATAAAGTTTTTAAGTCGAAAGGAAATATTGATTTTGCTTATTCTCTTTTTGACAGTATTTCAACAATCTAATTGGTAATTTAGGGATTAAAAAACTGTCAAGTTTATACATGTGCTTTTATGTAAAATATGTCTATGTTATATCAGAATATATTTCAACGTTCTAATTAAATTGCTAGTTTGGCCAGCAAGATAAATGAATGATCCAGGATTGGAATGCATTCATGCTTGCTTCATGTGCACAACCACCACTGAATTATTATTGCTGAAATATGTGCTTGAACGTGGATATATCCAGTATAATGAGCCATTTCTACAGGTCTTCATTACAAATGGATGTTCACTTTAGTAACCTGCTCTACAAGTAAGTGTTCAGGTCAATTTAGAATAGCCTCTTTATTTTTATTACTAGTATCCCGAATTTTCAAATTTTGTGGCATAATAATTGTAGATATTTTACAAATTATTTATGTTTAATCCTATGCAAATGAATGTTAAGTGATCAGTATAGTTTTTTATCAAGCGTCATTCCTAAGAGAAGTCATTGTTATTTTTATTTTAACTGCTAAGTTGGTGAAGTTATAATTTCTTATTTTAAACATGTTTCTTAAGATTTCTTCAGAAATTTAAATTCCTAAATACTTGAATTTCCAAGTTATAAAAGTTCACATATTTTTAAATTTCTGGAAGCTTAAATTTTATAATTATTCAATATACGTATTGTTATATAAATGTAAATACCAAATATAGATATTTTTATATTTTTGTATTTTTATTTGTATAACTAAATTTGTCTTACTCAAGTGTAAAAAAATTAGTCACTCCAATTTAATGCATCTTCAAGTACGTAACAGGATAATAAGAAAATAAAAAGGTAACAATAACACTTTCAATAAAATTTAAATGAATCTTCCTTGTAATATAATTATCCATATTTAGTCCATTTTAAATCAATATATTATTGATATTATAGTATACATACAAAAGGATTAAATCACCCATAAAAAAAGGAGAAACTTTTCCATAAAATATTTGAAAAACAATGAGAAATGAGAATCACTATATTAATTGATTTTAAAAGGAAAATCAATTAAATTCCGCTTCGTTCTTTTAATTATCGTCAAACAATTATCCCTTTTTCACTTTAAAGAAAAAGTCAATATCCGCTGTGGTTTCAAAAACAGCTTGTCAGACTTTATTTAGTCACTTACATAACTATTGTTCCATAATAAGACTTGTTTCCATAATAATACCTTCGTACAATTTCCCGCAATTTTTCACGTTCTCATAACTCTTTTCTTATTACTAAATATTTCTGAGTCATGTATTTGTGTCATCTGATACTCTTTTGTACCAAACAATGCGTTGGCGCGTAGTTATAAGCGAAATCCGATTCAAATGTGTAGTTCTGCAATATGCACAACGCATTCGGTCTGCCTTTATACGTGTATAGACTACTGAACTATTGCGAGTGGAAGTTCAGTGGTTTGTGTAAGGATTGCTAATGGAACATCTTCTTGCGCGGTGATACATATGCTCAATATAACACACATGATGCGGTATATGACACGGTTCGACACGTATAATTTATACATTCGTTTGGGGAAGTTTATATGTCTTGCGTGCAGTGAAACATACGAGATGCGCAGTGACAACGTGAATTGGATTTACAATTTTTATTTTTATTTTAGCTGACTAGTAATTATTGTTCTACAAGTTTTCAGTTTTTTTAAACTGTGTAATTACCTGTAAGTATTAATTGAATTTATTTATATTATATAAATATATAACTTTTAGTGATAGAGCCACTTTTACTCAGTATACAGGGTGCTTCAAAAATAATTGACTCTACTAAAGCTACACAATATTAATTACATGTACGTACATTATGTATATTATGTATATGTATAATAAATATTGCTTATACATGTATATTCTTTCTTTCAGTTACTCTTTCTTTAGTAAAATACATACAGGGCGTTTCAAAAATGTATATTATGAAAATTAGAAATTTTTTTGAAAAAGTGTATAAAATGATGTAACAAGTTTATATTTGCTTTGAGTTTACTAAAACTACCCAGTATTGATTAAATATATATAAACAGTAGCAAAGTGAAATATTTGCTAATACTTGTGTTCTGTGTTCCAACTAACCAGTCATTTTTTATTGTGGTATCGATAAAGTATTTATGTGAGCATTTTACGTTCCATAAGCAGCACCATTTTACGGTACTTTTATGTTATCAGATCGTATCAGATTTCGTAGATCTCAAAATTTACCTGGATATACAATAATTTAATATTTATGGAACTTCGTACACATATGTGTACTAAAAAGCAATCAATTAAATTAATATTCTATCACTAAGTCTTCCAAAACTAATTTTCTTTTTAACAACAGCTTTTTGGTATTATCTATACATTTCACACTATATTTACAACATCATGGATGGATTTAAGATTTCTTATTTTCAATTACGAAAACTATTAAGATTTTTTTCAAATGTTATTTGTTTACAAGTACAAAAGTTTATACAAAAAATTGTATAAGCTAGTTTACATATTAATAATTATTTATTTTTATAGTTTAGATTCAATTTAAATATCATTAAACGGCTATCAATTTAGGGTTAATATTTGTTTGTGTAAAAGTTGTTGATAAGAAAAATATGAATGTTCATAACAGTAATGAATTATAATGTGACATGTGTGTGTTTAATTAATACGGTAGAATTATTTACCTCGTCTTGTCCAGGTGGACCAGGGGGTCCTGGTGGTCCTCTAACACTCTCTCCTTTGTCTCCTTTATCACCTTTTTCACCCTTAGGCCCTTTATCTAAGAAAGTTAAAAAGTATATTTGATTAAAATTTATACACATGTACATTTATAAACTCTCCATCAAAACCGAGTATCCTTTGTTTGATTAAAAATATACAAGTTTTTTTAAATATAACATGCTTTTTAAAAACTCAAAATTTATCTAAAAATATATATGATACAAATTATTAAAAATAGAATAATCTTATTGGGTACGTAAAAACATTCCATCACTAAACAATTATTGCAAATAAAATTCAATATTTAAATGATCAGAACTCTAAATTTTATTAAATTTTTAGCACATCGATTATTCATCAACTTAAACTATAAAATTATATAAACAATTTATTGGAAAAATGATTATTGAAATGATATACAGTAAAGAAATATTTCGAATAAAATAATTTAAAGTGCCACATTAGATGTATCACCCTGTATAAAAACGATTTCTACATTAGAAGCTTAACAAAGCTCTCCAGAAAGATAAACCTGGTCCGTTAAATGTTGTAAAGGTTCGCAAACCCTTTATCGATCGAAGTCTGCAATATATATGTCGAGTTTAAAATCCTTTGAGAATTCAATCGTACGTTTCTTACAAAGGATACTGGTAATGGTATTTTTAGTTATTAAAGAAACGATTTTCGATTTGACATTGCGTTACGGTATCGCTGCCAACGACCAGAACACTTTTAAAAGAAGTCACGATTAACACATTGACTGTCATATTGCAGTTCAAAAGTGCATTGGGTATTTTTATTTTGAAATCTTATTTTCACAATATCTTATTTTTCATAGTTGTATGTAGTTAATACAAGTACTTTCAGTTAGGTACAGTCTGTTCTACAAGAGCGTGTCGACGATATCTGACACCTGATGAAGGTGACATAACAAAAATATTAACAAATACTCTAATACGCGTTGAATATTTTTCAGTTCCGTTTGAGAGATCGAAAAAAACAGACCTTTTCGATATGAGTATCGCGTGAGACACTTTGAGGCAGTGTTCTTATATTGCCACCCAAGAGCCAAAATTGACTTTCACGAGTGCTGATAAATATATGCATAAGTCGACACAGTTTGGTAAGAAGTAAAACGGTATAAAAATATGAAAAATGTCGATGACTTCTCAAATCGGGGTTTAAAAATGGAAACCTATATCCGAGAAGAGAAAACGATTCTCCGGTTTTTCAAAAAAAATCCGACTCCTGCATTACAACAGGTCAACTATTTTTGGCCGAGAAAGGCATAAATATTTGTACGACATTAAAACGTCCTTTAGCCGATATCACGTGGCGAAGTGCATTGTTGCTTTCAAAAAAGCATGTCGAAAATCATCTACCGTGAGCTGATGAAAAAGGCAATCTTGCTTGGAGTGATATGTTCACTGATAAATCTTCGTTTTGGGTATAGTGTCCTATCAGGCGTGCTTGGTCTATTCATTGAAAACGGATGGTTCAAAGAATTGTGAAACACCCTATAAAAGTGCATGTTTGGTTGCTTTGAGCACGCGGTTTCTTCGTGCGTTTTTACAGATAATTTGAATGCACAAAAATGGTGAAATTGTATCAAAGGAATTTTTCACGTCCGTGAAACGTTCAATCAAATGGGCCAATAGATATTACGAGGCGTAAACATCGAAGTCGTATCTACACCCAATGGAAAGAAACTTCATCATCGCATTCCTTGGCTATCGCAGTCTTCTGATGCAAACCCTGTGGAAAATTACTGGTCCCTAATGAAGTGTAAACTGCGACGTATCTCCAAAAGGACACTTGTACATCATATTCAGAAGATATGGAGGGCGCTGCAGTATCTACACTAAAAAATTAGTTGCCAAAAATGTATCAGCTATTATTATAGCTATTATTAGCTATTGCTAATGGCGGAGATTGGACCTATTTACTAAAGAAGAGCACACTAGCGTTTTATGCGTAGATCCGTACAGGTATTTTGATAGATACCTAAATATTAACAGAAATACTCTTGTGAGACAGACTGTGTAATACAAATATTTTCAATTAACGAACACATTTTTTATATGGTAATTTAAGTGTCACCTGTACATGGGTGACACGGCAGTCAAAGTGTTAAATAAACCCGTGAATTCTTTACGATTACTCACAGTCCGGATTAGGAGGAGGGGGTGTGATGAATGGCGGTGGATTGCTTTCCTCGCTTCTGTCTTCGTCATCGTCTCGTCCGATCTGAAAACGGACGGTAAAATGGGACGTTGAATAAGAACACTAAACGTGATTTATATATCGTTATATGCTAACAGATAAAAAAAGGAGAAACGGGCGAAAGGTAAAAAGGAAAACGAACGACGTGGGAGTTTCATCGCTTATGGATGTGATTGATTGCGCTTCACGCCAAATACGATTTATTTGTGAGCGAAAAAAGCAAAGAAATCATTCCATTCTTGACGAATTTTCAGGAAATGCGTGATTAATATTGCGCACCGTTCGCGAAAAAATAGTGTATGGTAATAGACGGGAACCTTGTAAGATCGATAATGAAGCTTTAATATTTTAGCATTTAAGTCTAATAACGATGTATGGTCAAAAGCTTTTGAAATTGAGAGAATGTTTGATATGGTTAATATTGGTACAATATTGAAAATTCAAGTATTGAATTGTTATTTTTGTTGCAATATACCTTGTGATGAACTGATAGTATGAATGTAAAAAATTTGACAGTATATTGATTTCTATTCGATATGGTCAAATAAAATGCTTGTAAAAGAGACATGAGTTGGAATTGTACATTGATTTTTTAAATTTAGAAATCAGACCAAATTTGGAAATCTGAAAATGTAAAAATTAGAATTGAAATTGGAAAGAAAATATAGAAATTAATTATTTTTCTAAAATTTCCACATTTTTAAATTTTCAGATTTCTCAAGTTTCAATCAAGCTTTATTTAGCGACTAAAAATCGTAGATAATAGAAATATAGAAATGTTATCAGGTATTTGTATTTTCATGTCTACAAATTTACAAACTTGGAAATTAAAAATTACCAAAATTGAAATTTAAGAAATTTAGGGGCACAGAAATGAAAAAATCTCACATTTTCGTACTTATAAATCTTCAAACATGAGAAGATAAGAATCTGGTAATTAAGTTTTTAAATTTGAATTTTTAATAGCGTCAATAAAAATTTTGTAAAGCATGATTATGTAATCGAAGAATCCTAAATGAAATTACATATAGCGGAGTTCGTACATTAACCTATATTTTCCCTAATTACTTCAAAAACGTGAAGCACTTCGACTTCAAAATAATTAGAGCGTCCGATATCGAAGAACCAACTTTTTCGGTCGAATTTTTTTCGCCCTCTCGAAGAATGAACAATATCGCCCGAACGTTCGTGATTAATGAACTTTCGGTTAAATCAGGTGGAATGGTTAGCACATATTTGCCCTAAATGCTTTCCAATAATTATTAGTAATGACGCAGATTTATGGAGCCAAACTGTTCTTTGGTAATTATTTATCGTTGATTTTCTGGCTGACATATTACACTATTGCGATATTGACTTTACCGCGTGTGCTAACGAGCTGCACTACGATAATCTAGAGGATTTTGAGCGTAGTCTGTTATGCTTGTTCAAAGATATTTCGGAATATCAGTCTATGATATTACCACATAATGCGATATCGATCATACTGTACAAGTTATAACTATTTTATAGGTTAAGTTAGGTTTTGCAGGTTATAACTATTTAATTAAGTTCAGTCAATTATGCGTATGAAAAAATATTTGAGAATATCATTATAGAGTATAATAATATTACCATATTCAGTCACACTTTATAGGTTAACTTTATTTTATAGGTTAGGTTAGGTTTTATAGGTTATAACTATTACTTACTTATTAAGTATAGTCAATTTCGCTTATTCAAAGATGTTTGAGAATATTGTTATACACTATGACAATATTACCATATTATCTGATGTGTGATCATATTTTATAAGTTTATCTAATCTATTTTATAGGTTAGGTTAGGTTTCATAGGTTATAACTATTACTCATTTATTAAGTATAGTCAATTTCGCTTATTCAAAGACGTTAGGTTTCATAATGATCGTTTACTATAAAAACAAATTAATGTTTGTACTATTTATAGTTTAATATAATTCATTATTCCTTTATTATTTGTTACCTACATAAAGTAATTTATAAATAAATTCATAAAGAAATTATCTTAAATATTGCATACAACATAATTTTGAATGCATTCAAATCTCCCTCCATATATCGCCATTTTCATGCAGTATTAGAACATTAAATTTTCCTATTGCAGTTTTACTTCTTTAAAAAATATGTGTTGAATTTTCTTCCCACTGCATTCGCTTCAAGTACCTCATTTTCCCTTGTCTATTTTTATAATTCATGTTCCATGTCAGAATAATTTTTTGATATCTATTTTCGTCTCGAAATTGCTCGCTACGTGTACACACGGAATTGCATAAACTGGAAAATAGTATACAGCCACGGTGGAATGGTTACACCAATGTGTAGGGCGTCCTGTGGATTTTGGCCCCCATGGGAAATATAATGCAAGAATATCCTTGCGTTTACGATTTCTAAACTCGTTTAAGTGACACCTCCTAGCGATATTAAACTGGGTCAACAATTTTATATGATATTTTTATATCGCGAGTGCAACGACACCGAAATTCGATTGTTTGCCTTTTTTTTCGTTCACAATCTGCTCTGTTGTTTGCTTAATCAGGATCGAGCTTCTCTTTATGTTTGATATGATAAAACAGAAACGGAAGAATACAGGACGTTCGAGGTTCAAACAAAGATATTTGAAAGTGTTTGTAATATCACACTTCACAATGTTGATTTTAATACTTTTTAAAGTTTCTCGTGTTTTTGTACTTTTATTACTTTTTTCGTGTTTCAATATTTTTGCTAGTTTTTCATGTTTTTATACGTTTATTAGTTTCTCATGTTTTAGCGTTTTTTTTTAATTTTTTATATTTTAATATTTTTTTTAGTTTTTCATACTTTAAAGCATGTTAAAATAGCAAAAATTATCTTAAATTTTAATTTAGCAAAAGACAGAAAAATATTGTTTTTCAATATTATCCTGATGAGTATTATTTTTTATCTAATAACTCATTTTAGAGATAAATAAATAAAATTATTTAGACATTTAAAAGCGCCGAAAATTTAAGTTTCCAATATTTAAAATTTTCAATTTTGTTTCATTTTTGTACTTTCAACTTAAAAGTTTAATAATAATAATTTATATTTTTGTAATTTGGGAATGTATTATCTGAAAATTAAATTTGTAAAAAATTATAAACTAAAATTTTCCAAAGCTGAAATTTAATGCAAAATTTGCTATTTGCAATTATTGTAAAAATTTTAATAATTCATAAATTTAAAATAATATAGATTATTATAATTCAAGAATTTTTTAATTCAAAATAATGTAATTTGTTGTAAATTAATTATTCTTCAATATAAAATAATATTGATTATTGTAATTTAATAATTTTTAAATTTGAAATAGTATAGCTTATTGTAATTCAGTAATCCTTAAATTTAAAATAATATAGGTTATTGTAATTTAATAATTTTTGACCTTAAAATAACACAAGTTATTGTAATTTAATAATTTATTAATTAATAATAAATATAATATAATATAGATTATAATAATTTGAGAATGCTTAAATGAATGATACAACTCACTGAAATTTAACAATTTTTAAACTGTGAAATAACAAGATATTTCTAATATTTTACAAAATTTAGAATATTGCAAATTATTATAATTTAACAATGGTTAAACTTAAAACAACTTAATAATTTTTAAATTTAAAATAATGTACCTTACTTTGCTTTAATAATTCCTAAATTTAAAATAATATAATTAATTGTAATTTAATAATTCTTAAATATAAAATAACATAGATTATTCTAATTTAATCATTTTTAAATATACTATAATATCATTCAACTATTTTTAGACTTTGAAATAAGTTATTTTTAATATTTTAAAAAATTTAGAATATTACAAGTTATTGTAATTTAATAATTCTTCAATTTAGACTATAACAAATTCATCTTTATTTTGTTTCAAATTTCATATCATTCATATATGTATACAGAATAAATTCGTAAGTTAACGTTTAAACTAATGTTCCACGATGTATAATAATAAGTTCGAACACCCAGGTAGAATGATTAATAGGCTTTTCAGACATGTTTCTGTTTAATTAGTAATCACGTCTTTTTGCGTACACAGGAAGTCAGATTTACATTTCGTGCCGGCAGTGTACATGCACATATACGTAGATACACGCATGTAAACATTTACATAGTGGAGGGTATACATGTTGTACAGTGTTTGTTAGCTAAATATTTCAATGTGCAGGGTATTTATACTTTAAGTAACTATGTAGAAATAAGCCACGTGAAGTAACAAGTACAAACTTAGTATTTATACGAGGAAATGAGATTCTCGAATTCCAAGCTTAAAATTTTGATTATATTTTTGTTGCGACTGAAATAGAGATTATTTGTAATATTATGGATTCATTATTTGCTATACGATGCATTTATTTTAAATGTGTTATAATTGTTGAGGTTATATTCATAAATTTATTAATTTTCAAATTTTAAATTTATAAGTCCCAATTCAAAATTTCTAAATTTTCAATTTTTCAGTTCCTCATTTTTCCAATTTCTAAATTTCGCAATTTGCATATTTTCTGATTTCTAAATTTTTAAATATTACAATTTTTCAATTTCAAAATACAAAATACATTTCTGTAATTTTTCTAATTTCTAATTTTGAAAAATAAATAAATCCGAGATGATATGTAAACTGCCTAAGACATTGATTCTTTAGCTTAATGAAAGACATAAATTATTACAAAAATTTCTTATAAGTTTTGTCATTTAATATAAGAGATCTATGATCCGCCATTTTGACGAGTTCTGTAAATCTAGTGTTAATATACATCTACCAAAAAAGTACTTTTATTCGTAATTTCCTGCACTTTCTGCTACATATAACCAAAGAAAAGCCAGCTATCTGTTCTAGAGCCGCGTACGCTGTATAATTGCTGCTGTGCCAACAAAGCCCAAAAATGGCTGCTCTAAAATTCCATAAACTACTCTCAATACACTCTCCGCAGTCCAATTCCAATTAAAAGCGGGTAGGGGAGGAAACACAGGAAA